TCTCAAATTCTAATACATCTTGGTCACACCCGAATGAATAGAGTATTGTGAATCATGAGACTCTGTCAATACATTCTAGATCAAGTCACCAAATCGAACACAAATTCTTCCTCTAAAACTGAGTACATCTCTTGCATCGAGAGTGGCATCTTGGGTCTCCCCAAACACCACCTTATTTCTAAGCTTATTCAAATCTTCATCCCTTAAATTGATTACCCTTGATTTCCTCTATAAAGGTGGGATTAACCTCAATATGGCTATTACCCTACCTTTTTCAAAGATGCCCAACCACATGAATTTATACTCCAAACCCTAAATCTCTCTAACCAAGGGCCGCTTCATGCTAACTTTTTTATGTCTCAATGCATATGACGCCACATTGGCCTTTCCTAGATGATATTAAATAGTCACATCACAATCCTTGAGAAATTTCATCCATCTCCCCTGTATTAGATTCAGATTCTTTTAAGTGAACACATGTTCCAAGCTGTGATGGTCAGTGATCACATCACACTTCACTCCATAAAGATAACGTCGCCACATCTTGAGAGTAAACACTATTGAAGCCAACTCTAAATCATGGATGAGGTTGCTCCTCTCATAGACCTTCAATTGCCTGGGCGTATAAGCTATAACATTTCTTTCCTGCATCAAAATAGAAATCAAGCTCAAACAAGAAGCATCACAAAAAACAATGAAGTCCTTACCTTTCACGACAATGTTAGTATAGGTGTTGTTCAAAAGGTTCTTGAGATTTTGGAAACGCTCTTCACACTTCTCTGACACTCGAATGATACATCTTTTGAGTCAAACTGGTCAAATGTGTTGCCATAGATGAAAAGTTTTTCACAAATATGTGGCAGTAGCTAATATGACAAAAAGCTCCTAACTTCTGTCACGAAGCTAGGTCAGTTCCAATTCTTAACTGCCTTAATCTTTTAGGGGTCTACCATCATCCCTTCTTTTAAAACCACATGCCCAAGAAAGGCAACCGAGGCGGCCAAAATTCTCACTTAAAAAATTTAGCATACAATTTTTATTTTCCCAGGATACCCAGTACAATACGAAGATGATCTGCATGCTCCTATTTTTTCTTAAAGTAGATCAAGATGTCATCTATACATACAATCAAAAAGGAATCCAATGAGGGTTTGAATACCCTAATATCAAGCTCCTAAATGTTGCAAGCGCATTAGTTAACCTGAAGGATACTACAAAAAACTCATAATGCCCATATCGGATCTTAAAAGCTATATTAGGTATGTCCTCAGGCCTAATCTTTTGGTGATGATACCCCGATCTCAAGTAAATCTCAGAGAAGACAAAAGAACCCTGCAACTAGTAAAACAAATCATATATTCGAGGTAAAGGCTACTTATTATTGATGGTGATCTTATTCAATTATCGGTAATCTATGCACATTCTCATGGTAGCATCCTTATTTACAATCAAAATAGGAGCACCCCAAGGAGAAGCACTAGGACGAATGTATCTTTTATCAAGCAGTTTCCGAAGATGAGTCTTGAGTTCTCTCAACTTTGTCAAAGTCATACAATATGGAGGAGTAGAAATTGGGATAATGCCTGACTCCAAATCAATACAAAAGTCTATGTCCCTCTCCAGAGGCATACCAAATAGATTTAATGGAAAGGGACTCTACACTGACATTTTGAAAATGGGCCAAGTAGGACAAACAACCCTGCCCTGCTAATTTGTTAACCCGAAGGAAGGATATGATCTTTAATAGCTTAGGCTTGTTCGCCCTTCCCACTCAAATCTTTTTCTACTCGAAATCTCTAGAGTCACTATCTTAACATTACCGTTTAGCACAGCAAAATAAGGAGACAACCAAGTCATATCCAAAATCACATAAAAGTCTAGCATATCCAATATGACGAAACATACCCAAGTCTGCAGACCTATAAACATCATAGAACAATTGCAATACACATGGGTTACTACTATAGACCATTGGAGTAGCAACATACATAGGAGCATCAAGGGTATTACAAATAAAATCAAGCCCAAAGAGAAATTAACATATGCATAATAATAAGTTAAACTTGGATCAAACAACATTGTAGCCATCCGATCACAGACAAGAATAGCACATGTTATCACAACGTCTGTTGTCTCAGCCTCTGATTTTCCCAATAAAACATAACACTGAGCTCCGTCATCATTATGGGAAAATTCCCTTCCAGGGTGTGCCACTCATGTCCTTGCATTACCATTTCCTCAGCCTTCATGGCCTCCATGACTACCTCTTTGTCCACTCTATGGACGTTTTATATCATAATTACCTCCACCCAATGAAACCATTACTATATTATGCTGCTGAACTTGGCCAATAGTCTGCTTGTGAGGGTATTCCCTCTTGAAGTGTCTCGGCTCAACATAATTAAAATAGTTATAGTCAAGAGAGAGCCTGATGGCGGATGTACAAGAAGCTCTTTGTCCACCTTGAGCTAGAGACTATTGTGGAACCCCTGAATGACCACTCGTCGAAGTTGGCATAACCGACTGAATTGGACAAGCTAAATACATCTGCGAACCAAAACCCTTAAAATACAAATCATTGTAGTTGCCCACATTTCTAGACCTTTTAGCCAATGCCTTGGCCTGACAAACCTGTTGAACTCCCTCTACTTTCTTCACAAAATTAGTTACCTCAGTGAAGCTCTTACTTGCAGAGGTCATGTGCATAGATAAAAGTTGCAATTCAAAATTCAAACCTTTGACAAACAAGTGAATCTTCTCTTCCTATGTAGTATAACTGGACAAAGCATGAGACTTAGTCTCATAAGTAGCCACAGTTATGCTTCTTTGCTCAAGAGTCATGAACTCATCCTTCTTTCGATCTCTCAAAGTACGAGGCACATATTTCTCCAAGAATATGCATGTAACTATGTACAAGTTAGTCAAGGCAAGGTTGATGACCGACATTCCACAAAATGAATTCAAAGGCATCCTTACTCTCGAAACCATGAAACACTGGAAGGTTTAACTTCAAAATTTGGTCAAAATCTCATGTTCAATGCCAATCATCACAGGGCGAAGTAATGGACAGATCAAGAACGCAGCAGTTCCTGAGTCTCTTACTATCTTAGGGACTGTAGTAGTAATAAGACGAGTGATTAGAACTTGAGTAGCGCCTACACAGTGGGAGTGGCTCAATACCTTGAAACCTGCAACCCAAATCTGTGTTCTCACATCTGCTTAACATCCTCCTCAATCTCTATCAACCTCTTATTCCACATGATCCTTGGTTGGGGTGGGGTCCCTTTCTGTGGTACATTCTCTACCTGAGTTCCACCTCTGGCAAGTGTTGCCATTCCTTTGACCCTAACCTTATATCTGCCTCTACATCTACCTCTTCCTTTCCCTCTCGTTGTTGGCTCTGCTGCTGGAGTTACTGTCCTTGTACTGTTGCGTCTAGTATCAACCATCTACAGACAGAAGAATGGAAGAAGCCAGATACCAATTTGAATCAAGTTATAGGACAAAGGAAGAATTAAGAAAGAATTTTCCTAAAGCCCTGTAGCTTCTTGTAGAGAAGTACATACGTCTCTGCTCTACTAGACTCGTTTTGGTACGACGAGATCAATGAACCTAGGGCTTTGATACCAACTTTGTCACTATCCAGACGGTTGAGAGTGGCACACACACTAACCCTTCGGTGGTTGAACTGACTTCCAACCCAAACTTTACCATCAAGACTAATTATGGAAATCAATTTATGGAGAAAAATAAAAGAAACTAAATTGCAATTTCAATTGATAAAAGATTGAGTTCTCGTAAACTTAACCATTTAACCAAAAATATTGCAAAAATAAAACCCCTTAGAATTTGAATGTCGTGGTACCCTCTCAATCTCAAGGACAATGATGCAGAAAATGAGAGGTTTTGAGATTTTTTCTGCATAAAATCCCAACTTATTTCGCTATAGCAGTCCGACCCGCTATAACGACCTAGTTATCGCCTGCACATTCCGGCTACAGTGGCCTACCGCCTGGTATAGTAGATTGTACAAACTTTAGAGACTCGAAAACTCCTGAAAAACCCTTTTTTCACAACATACCTTCTTCCCTTGACATCTCAAACTATCCCCTTCACGCCAAGTTTGATTTTAGAAGTTCTACTCACCCGAATTCACTTCTGTAAAGCCCTACAGGTTTCTTAATATCTTGGTTACTAGAAAATATAAACCAAGGATAGACATATCACCTCACCCTTTTCCAGATGGCTCTAGACCTCACCTCGTCCAGATTCCGTCTAAGACTAGCCTAGCCTAAAAATTTTAAGTCACTACCCGAAAATTTTTCAGGCTCGATTTTTTTCACCATTGGCCTAGTCATGTCACAGTTAAACATATAAATTTGTCACACAAAAAGAAACAATTAAAAAATATAAATTTAATTTTTAAAATATCCCAAAAAAGACTCGTATATATGGTATCAGGGTACAAAAGTTACTTTATTGGAGAAGATCAATTAACAAGTTGGTTGGGAAATATAAAGGGTTGGAGTGAGAAAATCTTAGAGCATAATATAACGGCTGCGTGTAAATTCGTTGTCACGCCGTCCAAACAATATGCCAACCCCACGCGTAATCATCAATTAACCCTTAGATTGCATTTTTCTTCTTTTATCTATACTATATAAAAAAATATATATACATAAAGATGCAAACATTAAATTTTATAAATAACTTTATATAATAAAAAAAACTTTGAAAACGCATTGTGTCATATTCATTGAATATTTAAGTAATTCTTTTTCTGTAGTGTACCTGCTTATCACACACACTACTCCCTCTTTTACTAACTAGCTAAACAAGTCTTTTTCTATATATAAGTAAATATTTATTCCCTCACCAACAACATTTCAACTAACACCTCATTTATCCATTTTGGTTTCTCTCATTCTTAAGTCTCTCTTTCTCTCTTCTCTTCATCAACAACTCCTCCTTTCAATCTCTCTCTCGCTCGCTCGTCTCTTGCTCCGAGCTTGAAAAAGGGTAAAGGGTCTCTCTATCTTTACTTATTTTTCTGTGGTACTTAAGTTTTGTGGTGTTTCCATGCAGATGAATTCATTTACAATTTGTACATTTTGATCTTAAGGTTTACTAGTTATTTTCTACATTCTTAAGTTGTAACTAGAAGATCATTGCCAATTCTTTCAATTTTTAATGTTTGCATGTTTAATTACTTTTCTTTCCTCTATGTGTAACTCTTAGTTTTTTTTTGTAGAGTATTAATTACAATGTAAGATTATGGACCCCCTTTAGCACTTGATTGGTTGAGAAAATATAAAGAGAAAAAAAAGGCAATTCTATCATTTTCTTGAATGTCATAATTCATTGGTCATGAAGTGAAAAATGTCTATATGGTAGTGTGTGAAAAGGGTTTTTCTTTAGGGATCATGTGTTATTGAGTGGAATGCACTCAAAGAAATCATTTCAACTTATAATATATATACTTCTTTTTGTATATTTTTTTTGGGTAATGCCAAATGACCAGAAAATTTAAAAATTGTATAATATCTTTTTTATTTTAAAATAAACTAATCTTTTTTACATTTTTTAGTTAAAAGGGTAAAAATATTTTTAAAAAATAAAATAACATAGGTAAAAATCATTTTGGCCAATTTTTCAGGCCAAAAGGATTTTTCCTTTTTTTTTAACAAACAAAAACAAAGTCAATGTTTTCGTCTACTTTTTATTTTCCTTTTCATCATAGAAATTGCCTAAATGTTACTAGCATGAATTGCATGCAACTAATTAAGGCCATTGCAGGCTTATTCATCATCATTTTTCATATTTTCTTGTTTGGTAGGAACCAACTAATTATGGTTTGCCATTTTCCAAATTTCCCAAAATCAAAAAAAATAAAAAGGAGGAAAATAAATCTTGAAAAAAATATTTTTAAATTGGAGGACCTTGACCCCACCACCCCAAAGTATAAACCAAAAAGAATGAGGTAATGATTACTTTTAATTTGCTCACGAATGGATGTCAATTAATGAGTAGAATCATTACAATTCTTGCAAGATAAGAGAAGTGTAATATTCACACTCTTATATATATAAAAGTTTCCTTTTCATATTTACTTAATAAAAAGGTGCAAAAAATATCTTCCAATAGTATATATAACATTTTTTTTGTTCTCAAAAAATATAATTTGTTAGATTGATCAAGATGGAAATGGAGTCATGTGTTCCTCCAGGATTTAGATTTCATCCAACAGAGGAAGAACTTGTTGGATACTACCTCAAGAGAAAGATTAACTCACTCAAGATTGATCTTGATGTCATCACTGATATTGATCTTTATAGAATGGAGCCATGGGACATCCAAGGTACATTCATTCTTTCATCTCTTTAATTTTCTTGTAATTTCTACTTTAATATTATATTCCGTCTGTTTCAATTTGTTTGTATTACTTTCTTTTTCAATTTGTTTTAAAAAAAAGTGTATCATTCCTTTTTTGGTGACTCTTTAATTCTGATTTTCTACCTGACATGTTTAAGATCACATGATTAAAGAGTATTTTGGTATGTTCAACATATCTTTGGTTTAGGAGAACACGATTCAAAAATCTTTTTTACTTTCTTAAACTCCATGGCAGATCAAAACAAGACAAACAAATTGAAACGAAGTTTGAACATTGACCTGAAGTTTGTAACATGCATGTACAGATAGGTGTAAACTGGGATATGAAGAACAAAGTGAATGGTATTTTTTCAGTCACAAGGACAGGAAATATCCTACTGGAACTCGAACGAATCGCGCGACAGGGACCGGATTCTGGAAGGCAACAGGAAGAGATAAAGCAGTGTTATCAAAGGAGAAGATAATAGGGATGAGAAAAACACTTGTTTTCTATAGAGGAAGAGCTCCTAATGGAAGGAAAAGTGATTGGATCATGCATGAATATCGTCTACAAACTTCTCAGCATGGACCTCCTCAGGTTACCTAATCTTTCCATCTGCTTCACAACTTGATAAATGTATTTTGAATTGATACGGAGTTTAAGAAAGAAAGAACAACTTTTGACACTTTCTAGGTAGAACATATATACTTCGGAAAAATTCTTTTGGCCAGAAAATTTGGCCTGAATGGTATTTTACTTTTTTGAACGTTTTTACCCTTTTAATATTAATACATTTTAACTAAAAACTAAAAAAAAGATCAATTTATTTTAAAATAAAAAAGATATTATAGACTTTTTAAATTTCAGGCTAAATTTTCTGGCCATTTAGCATTGCCCATATACTTCATTCCATCCTTATTTATATTCTATTTTATTCTTAATGAGATGATGCTTTATAGCCACATAAATATTTATGATTTATTTTAAATCAAAAATTTCAAAAATCTTGCTTTTATTTTAAATTTTGTGTTCAGTCGAACACCTTAAGTACTAATTAAAATTGTGTCGCGCATGAAATGCTTTCTTATGTCTATTATTTGAATAAGTTTGTTCCTTTTTGACTGTTGGACTTTTATCAAAAAAATTATTAATTGGCATAGCAAAGTACAAAAAGAAATAAGTTTTTCTTGTTCCTTTCTAGATTACTTTTGATGTTGGGAAATTTTTTTGGAGAACATATTGAAAAGACAAACCTTGTTTGTTTTTTCTTTATGTACTTCGTTTCCAGTGGAAAATAAAGGAGGTGTTTGACTATGTAGTTCCCAAAAAAAAAAAAAAAAACTTACTTTTGGTGTTAAAACTTAAACATGACATTACATTTTTATACCTATAAAATTGTGTCACTAAGTAAGATGAGATAAATTATTTTTGCATATATGTAGAATAACATTATTCTTATTGGTATTATAGATTTATGTTACACAAAATGAAACAAAGGATAAATGGATTAGCAGCTAAAAGAAATATTTATCGTTACTGAATGTCTCTTTTGTTATAGTGATCAAGATTTAGTTCGAAAGTTAATTGACAACTCTAATTAAGCTGAATAAGATTATTACTAAATTATTACTAACAAGTTTGGAATTTGTTGTTAATTGACAGGAAGAAGGATGGGTAGTATGTAGGGCATTCAAGAAGCCAAGTCCATCAAACAACAATATTGCTTACAATTATTATATGAGAGGAGCCAACACAAGTTACTCAACTAGACCACCTCCCTCCCTTTCACAAATGCCAAGTTATAATATTAATATTAATCCTCTAAACCAAACATCAAATTTCAATCATCAATTCCCTTTTAATCATCAAATCTCAAGCCAAAATAATATTGGCTATGAAAACAATCAACTAGTAATGCATGAACTCCCACAACTTGATAGCCCTACCATTTCAACAAGTTTGGCTACAAATGATCATCAAGGCCAAAATTCCATGAACAACAACAACAATGAAGATCAATTTTGTGATGAGTGGAATATAGATGACAAGTTATTTGCGCCACAAGTCATCATGAATATGGAGGCACCATCTTCTTCTTCTTATTCTTACCCTAATTTTCCGTTAGACGACGATGATCAAAATCATATGAGCCAATTGCTACAATGTTACCCTGATTTATAGATGAAAATTAATCTTCTATGATCAGTAATAGCTTTTTTGTATCTTTTTTAATTGAAACAAAAGAAGAAGTTTGTGAAATTCCAAGGAAAAGATGGAACACATATATAGAATTGGAAATGTTGAAGGGTGCAAGGCACGTTAAAAAAGTTGCCTTTTAGAATTTTTTATTGTTTAACTACCTATTGACTGTTTTAAGATATTTTTGTAACTGTGAATGAACTGATGTTTAATTTTTTTTATCTACTTCTCAGACAAGCTTAAATTTTTGTCCTTGCAATTTTATATTAAACTTTTTTTTTCTTCCATTATTATGATTTGGATGTTTATCTTTTGCTAAATTAAGTTGAGATGTATTTATACAGATTACAAAGAAAATATAACAACCAATTACCTACTACAGGCTACAAGTGCTAATTTTCTATTAACAATCCTAAAACATGATATAAAAAAATATGTACGTACAAATAATACATGGATGAAAAATAATATGAGCTGTGTATTTGTGTATATATGTAGGAAATATTGTATAACAGTTATATGTAGCCAATTGTTATGTGTTGCGTTATATCTCATCTGCATCGTTCAATATCAACGTAGGGAAGCCACGTACGTGTCAAAGTGGTTAGATTCACTTAAGCTATATATTTTCGACGTTGTGTTGCGTGTTTGGATTCATTTATTTTAGGTGTTTTTAACCAAAAATAAGTTATTCGATTCCAACCAAAGGGAAACTTAGTAGGCGTTTGGACATGCGATACCATATTGAATCGTGAGATGGAATCAGTGTTTGGACATGTGATTTCATGTTGATTCCATCTCATGATTTCATATCATGTCATGGAATCTCATATTCTCCGAAAATCATGATTTGGGAAATCCATATCATGATTTGGAATTTTTTAATATAAAATTGACCCACAAGTTTATATTTTGTTAAAACAGCCCACATTTATATTTACTAACTATTTATTTCATATGTAAAAAATCTATAATCACATCATTATTTTTTAAAATTTATTATTCTCACAAGGGACGGCTCAACGTGATTGGGGGCCTAAAGCGAAATTTCAATTTGAGGCCAAAAATATAAACAGACTTCATATACGTATTTATTCAAAATTTATTTTTCTTACACTATTTAGATAAAAATAATTAGTATTTTAATATTATTTTTTCAGTTATTAGTTTTAGGTAAGATTTTATCAACTCAACATTGAAAAACATCCTTTCAGTGAGGCAATTATTATATGAATTGTTAACATAATTCTATAAGTAATAAGTTGACAAATATTACATAAAGATAAGAGTTTAGAAACATTGTAATAATGCTTGAAACTAAAATTAAAAAGAAATAAAAAAGAATTTGTAACTCACTTTGTTCAACACTTTTCACTATTAGTTCTTATTTTTAACAAAGTACAAAAGATGTTAAAGTGGATAAAATGATATATACTTTAAAAATTTATACATTTTATCATAAATAATCAATTTTATTTAAAGAAATTTTAACACATAAATTATTCTTGATAAAATTTGGGGGACCCCAAAATTTGGGGGCCTAAGGCAAAAGCCTTATTTTCCAAAGCATAGAGCCGGCCCTGATTCTCACCAACATAAAATTTATTATTACTTTAAATTTAGTGAATATAAATAATAAAGTAGGAATTGATTTGATGAATATAAATAAGAACGGAGGGAGTAATACTTTTCTGGTTTTCATAATAAAAAAAACTTCTCTTTTGGCTACATATGAAAATGTTTAAAGCAATTTAATATGAAAAAAAGGCAAAATTGGTCATGTATGTTTGATAATCACTACTTTCAATATGTTTGATTTTAGTACGAAATTAATGCATTGAAAATGTGTAATATCACACAAGTGAAACAAGGCATGAACCATTATGATATTGACACACAAGTGTTGTCATAGCTTGTACATTATTACATAATTATTTGCGAGAACATAAGGAGTGATGAATATTTATGATCTATGAGCATGAAAATATAGTTGCGAATGATATTAATCAACAAATGACTCAAAGTAACAATGTTGGTTCGTCTTCTCGGTCATATGATCGAGAAATGGAAGTTTGACATGAGGAGATTGTTCGTACTATGTGGGAGGATTATATTAAACATTAGTACACTACAATTTATGTTCAATTTTTAATTTTTTTGGTAAATAAACAAAATTTATTTCCAAAGTAAGCATTTGAGTACTTTTTTTATTTAATTAAAGTTTGATCAATTAAAGTTAGATGAAGCAGTTATTTATGTGGAGAACAAATAATTTTTGTAATACTTTATTATGCAATTTTATAAATTTTAAACAATTGGAGCTATTTTAGTAGTTTTACAACTTATAAGGTTCTTATGTTTATGAGAAAATCTACAACACAAAAATTTTATATTGCATGTCCAAACAAAACTTCAATTTCATATTATGATATCATATCATGATTCTATATTGCATGGCCAAACGGTCCCTTAGAATCCTATTCTCATGGCTGTAACGAAAATTCTATCAAAATTCCAACCAAAGGAAAATATTTCTTTTTTTCATAAACTCCGCCCATCCCCCCTCCCACCACACACACCAAATCATGATTTATTTTTGCTTTATGTCAACATTACTGTGGACTGTTATTACGATCACTTCCTTTGTGTACTGAACTACACTAATTCTTATTTTTAATCTAAGTTGCATCTCACTAAAAGAAAAAAAATAATCAATTTCATTCAACAGATTTTGATTGTGCGAAGGGATGAAGAGTATGAGGCTTTACTGAACTGGTATGCGTAAAGATAAGATTCAATATTTTCTCATCTTATGCTTTAAAGAGATATAAGAAAAACTCAAAAACAATTTTATTCTGCAGCTCGATGGTTACACATACATCTCTACAAGATAAATTGATGGATCATGTTCAGGATATCTTAATATATATATATATATATTAAGGGCCAATACAAATTAAAACATCGAAGATGACAACAACTCTTCTAAAGGAAATTCCTTTGAAAGGATCCAGAAGAAAACCTGGAAGTGAGACCCTGAGACATGTCCGCAGCATCAAGCTTAACATTTTGCCTTCCCGCTGTCAAATCCTTCTCACGATCCCAAGGTTTCCATGGATGATTGCCTTGCCATTCTTCTTTGGTTGATTCCTGCTTTGATTTTTTCTTTGACTTGGTACGAACTGTCTCTTGATGCTTTTCTACCATAGATTTTGATCGTCTCGATTTGTTATACTGTTCCACCAGTTCAGCATCGACACTTGATCTACTCTTTTCTTGCAGCTCTTTAGAAGCAAGTGCTGAAGCCTCATTGAAAGCCTCCAGATAACTGAAAATACAAAATAATTGAGAACCGAGATATCTATTATCATATCCAAAAGATCTAAATAACAGAGAATGAACATACTTCATTTTGGCTTTCTGAGCTCGATCTGATGGGGTGTCTGTCCAGGCACTAGTATCACCACGGCCTTCTTTCGAGCTTTTGCTAAAGCTCGTCTTTGAGTGCATGCTCACAACGCCAGCCTAAGCAGTCATGGAATACATCATGCAGAGTTTCACGAAGTAAAAGAAAGGAAAAACACTTGAGCAGTTTCTCATTCAGAAATTAATCAAGGATTTCATGTTGTCTTTCTTTTGGACCCCCACATTATGTATTCAAGAATTTATACATGTATGATAACATATGTTGTTATTTTCTTAGAATTACTGTTTCTTGTTACTTCAGGGTAGGGAATAAAATACTGGATTCGTACGGGAAAGAATCTGGTGCTGCCATTCAATGAACTTCCCAGAGCCATAGCTTCCCATTCAATTTGTTTTTTCTTCTATTAGATTATTGTTCAATATCAATTCCTTTTCAACAAGTAAGATATGGTTTTGTAATATTTCATGGTCACTGAACCCTTTAGGGTGAGAAGCATGCTAATGATGGGTCCAAAATGTTTCCAGGTTACCTAACGAGGGGGGGGGGCAGACGAGTGAAACGTATGGAAAGAAGAGATGGCTAAAGAAATTTAGGCACAAATATACCAATGCTTGAATTGTATGTGAATGTTCGGAGGGAGCTTTAAAGTAAAAGATAAAATTCTTGCTGACTTTGACAACCAGCACAAAACCTTGGTCTCGTGAAGAAGCTGAACATGACAATGGCAGTTCAAATTTTACATCACTAATTGGTTCGGCTTTAGACTCGGATATGGTGCTGAATAATAATACAGGCCATTTAGGAGTCTAAATAGGTGATGATGACAGGAATCAGTAAGTCAGAAGGAATTTGAAATTATGGTTGACCTGCAATGCCTGATAAACTAATATGTCCAAGATAGGCCAAAATTTATGGAAGAGCTAGGGAGCAATAGGGAGGGACAAGAATTAAGAACAGGTATGTAGCGAGAAGCCAGAGACATCAGGATTGACTTCAAGCTTAAACTGCCAGTTAGAAATTATATTGGAATAGCCAACCAATATTGGATCAACCAACTACACCTCAATCCCAACCTAGTGGCGGGTATGGTTAGCTACTTGTGTGTGTGTATATATACTATCAATAAATCCCCAACGTTTAGACAGTAACTTATCTTGGCCTGCCAACTACATTCCACTATCCCAGTTTAAAATTCTCTCTTCTTTTTAATATGAGTGTATATTAACCCTTTATCTTGTACTCTGATCTCTTTCATAGCTTGAAAAATATTATTATGATCATTCCTTGTTGGGTTTCCAATAACCTATATTTAATACTATCTGTAATATGCCAAATGCATCGATTGAGCCAGCTGGAGTAGTAGAACAATTAGATAAGCAATTATGCATCTTGGCCTGAACATTTAAAAATAGAACCAAGTTTGATCTGTCAAAATCTTAAGGAAAAGCAGCAAAAGGACATTCATCAAAATTGAGTGGAAGAAACAAGACCTTACTTTTCTTTCAGGAGGCAGTGTAGTCATCCATTCATCTCTTTTTGGTGCAACTTTGACCTCCATCTCTGCTAACAGCAGATCATCACCTTCCATGGAGATACCTGAAGCAAATAGTAATTTTAATGAAAAGAAATTCCTCCTCGTCAAATCGAATGTTATAAACATACTGGACCATGACTTATCCCAAAATATTGAGCCATAATAAATTACTACCGTTGTTCCAGTTTATGTGACATTTCCTTTTAAATCTATTCCAGAAAGACTGACCGCTTACTAAATTTGGATAGATTATAACTTAAAACTTCTCATTTTACCCTGAATGGCAAGCTTTTTAGCCACCCAAATGTTATGACATGTTTAAGACTACAAATTTCAAAAGTTCCCATTTCTTTCTTAAATAAAAAATTACATGCCCAATCAAATTGATTCACATAAATTGATACAGAGGGAATACTTAGTTGGAGTTTGAAATTGTAATCATAGTATAAGAACAACAACATACATAGTGTAATCCCACAAGTGGAGTCTGGGGAGGGTAGCGTGTATGCAGACCTTACCCTTACCTTGGGAGGTAGAGAGACTGTTTTCTAGACCTTTGGCTCAAGAAAAATCAGTATAAGAAGTTTCCAAATATAAGGTGATAGAGTGTTTATGTTATCAAGTTATTAAAGGGTATAACATAAACTGTTGACTATGTATGGTAAGCCCCAAGTCACTACTTTGTGAAAGATAAATTTGGCACAACAAGGAAATGCAGAATTTAATTTGAGAAGACAGACAGTACTCTCTATCATTTTTTTCTTACTAATAGATTATTTTGCAAAGGACCATATCATTTACTAGTTTTCTACCAGACATTCTTTATAAATGTGGAATAACTGAATAAGCCACCGACAATATGACACAATATATAGATCTTGTATCTTGACGCACTTCATAACTATATTGTTCAGCGATCCATGAAACATGACAATCCTCAAGAGACAGCTCACCTAACAGTGAGTTTCTTATTAGTTATAACCAGTGTTGTGAAAGGCGAGGCAAGGCGACCCTTCATCGCCTTTTAGCTTTGTGGCGAGGCGATCTCCAAAAGGCGACGCCATGGAGGCAAAAGGCGAGAGGCAACAAAGGGGGGGAAGGCATCGTCTTTTGTATTATCTTAAAAAAAATGCAACCAATTAAGGGTTTTAAAAGTTAAAAGGTACTTTTAGGGTTTTCGACTAGACTAGACTCCTCCGGCGACCAGCCAGCCTTTTCCGACTACTCCAAAGTCCAACCAATCCATATTTCTTCTTCAGATTTCATCTTCCTCGGTTTCTTTTTCCTTCTTCTTCTTCATACTTTAGAGTCACTTCTACCTCTCTTTTGACTTTTGTTCTGTTTTTTTCTCATTCAAGTTCTAAACTTTTAGTATGTACCATCTATTTTCAGTTTTTGAATTGAAATATTTGCTAATATGTTATTGCTATTGAGAATCTGATTATTTACATGTGCAATTAAATATTTTAACTTTTTGGTATTAATTGGTATCACATTTCAAAAGGCGAGTGGCGAGTGTGGCGAGGCAGACCCTTGTCACCTTTTATCGCCTTTCGCCGTCCAAAACACTGGTTATAACACAATCAATGAACCCTAACCATGTAAATCTAGTGGTACATGTAGCAGCTGCGGCAGTCTCTCCCGCTCCCCCCCCCCCCCTTTCCCAAAAAAAGGACAGAAAAGTGTTCCATAACGGAAGAAGACAGAAATCTAGAACTGCGTAACAAGAATTGACTCCAGCAAAGCATGACAGCAGATTTACAGGGAATGGAAGTTCAGACAAATCTCCGAGGTAAATAAGCTAGTAAGACAACATATGAGGGCGGAGGACATGATCTCTCAAGTAAAGAAAATAAATATATAAACAACCAGAACGTGAAAGTCCAAGCATGAAAATTAAGCTAAACGATGCATTACTGAATTAAACATTAATTGCATAGACACTATCATCTCTATCTCTTCCTAACTCACATCTGCAGGTGTTTGCGCTATCTATATTCAACTGTGTCAGTCTCCTCTAAAGTTGACTGCATATCTTAACGAGAAGCATGGTTGTAGTGGTACATAAACAAACAGGATTCCTGAAATGGATTGATAACGTAACCAAACCTGCAGATAGTCTTCATATGTTTTATTCATCAGTAATGGACTATCTAGTACCACAAATGATAGATGGGACCATATATCCTTCAAAGGTGTGGAGCATGACAAAGGATACAATCACATACCCGGAACAACACAACAACAACAACATACCCAGTGTGATCCTACAAGTGGGGTCTGGGGAGGGTGGGGTGTACGCAGACCTTACACACCTACAAAAGATTATTGTTTGTGCTGCAAATAGAATTTCTATTGTCTAGTCACATGCACCATAGTGTAGTCCAAGCAATGAAGCATGGAAGAAGTAAAAGAAAGTGGAGTTAGGCTTTTAGTGAGAGAAGAGTACTTTGGGGATTATAAAATCATGAAAGGTATATTAAGGCAAACTACTTGAAGAAGAGCTCCCTTGACAGAGCCCCTTTAAGGAATTTTCTCACTCCAGTTCAATTGAACCTCTCTCGAATTCTTCTAATAAAGTATAGACATATGAGTTCATTTCTTTTCCTCTATTTCATTCTAGTAATTGAATGCTAATAAGTGGGTTCAAGTATACTTGCTTGGGTTGATTACTTTCTTCCTTTCGTTCTTATTCTATTTCTACTTTTTGATTTCCTTGTGTTATTTCCGTCGTCACACATCCACACCCAAATCGTGTCGGATTGACATGGGTGTGGCAAGAGTCTGACCAACATAGATGGAGTTCACAGACAATTAAGCAATAGCGAAGTTGAATAAAAAATTAGGTACCAATCACATAAAATTTGAGCAAGATAGTAGAATAAAATGAATGATAAACCATGTTTAGCAAAATGGACCAACCTTGCAAACGTCTCCATTGGGCAGCTTCACGCATAGCTTGTAATTCTGCCTACGGAACCGAATCTTGTGTTAACAGATTGGTAGTCAAGAGTGTTTTGAGTTATCTTCATACCCAATGGGACACAAAAAATTGTACCTTCATTTCCTCTTGTTCTTCCTTGCGCTTTATTTTCTCATCCAACACTTTCCTCTACAAAAGAAAACAACATCTTCTTGATAAATTAAATGAAAACAACATTTGGAAAACCCAAAATAAAGCATAGTTTACTGTAAATGTTCTCCATAATATAGGGAGTTACAAAGTAAGCTCAAGGAACTGAATGAAACAATGGTAGGCCACAATAACTAGAATACCTGATGTTACGGCATCAAATCATAGCAAGTCAAATTTTCAATGTGCTAATTCTGAGTGGTTATATAATATCCTACTGATTTTTCTCAATGATAATTCTTTTAGACTAGGAATCAACAAAGTGAGGTGAAAGTGATATAGTAACAGAAACATCTAGAACTGCAGTCCCTAGGGGAAAAAACCTACACGTGATCCAATCCAACTGAGTGTTCTCTAATTACAGTTTTCAAAGTTCCCTGCAAAAGTATGATTGTCTTCCTAAGCATTTTAATTTCTATCAAAAGATGAGAGCATAAGTCATTGCCTGATTTGTTTTTTGTGTACAAGGAAGCCAAATAAACTTTAGCTTTCTTAATTTCCTTCTAAATCCGTGTTTGAGTGTCACTTATAAATGTAGAAGATTCAAGATTGCATGAAGGGAACTATGTCGCTTGGACTCTTCAAAGATGTTGATGGGTGTATGTCGGATCTTGCAAAATTAGTGTATTTTGAAGGATCCAACACGGGTGTGGCAACACTTCTGGAGAGTCCGAGCAACTTAGGAAGAGAATACATACGTGAAAAACATATAATAGTACCTTGAATAAATAATAAAGATTGCATTGGGAAAAAAGGAACCACTTCATCTTTGTTAACTTCTAACATTCTGTTGATAAACTAAATACTAATTTTGTGAAATAAGGTATGTGATCTTCCGCCTTCATAACTTCCAGTGGTTTGCTTATAAGTTAAAACGACAGCATGTCTTAATGATTTTTCAACTTCTCGAGTAGGCAGAAGTCACCACTTCTGTATTTCCCGGGATTTTTCTCTCCATTTCATTTTCTTAATAAGCTTCTCGACTTCATTGGTTAAACTAAAATTTAAGAATCTATCAACTCCTAAGTAAAATGTTAAGCCTAAAAAGTCACACATTAGTAAACAGGAAGTGACACTGATGTTAATTGCAAAATTGTGCCAATTGCACCAAAATTTCTTGGCACAAAATTGAGATGATGCACTTGAAGAGTATTTTCAAATATATATTTTTTTATGACAAGGGAAACCCGCAACCGCTACCCTTTGGGTGCGCATAGGGTAAAACCCCCGCTCCTATGCAATAACTCGTAAACCACATAGGAGAGGTAACCCGCACTAGGCAAGCCCGGTGCGACGAGCTCGACCCAGAAGGTAAATCCCTTGATTTCGTTGGCAAGGGGTTTCGAACTTGAGACCTCCAACATGGAAGTTCCAAGCCCAAACCACTGGGTCACCCTGAAGGGTAAGAGTATTTTCAAATATTAATGAAAGGACATAAATCATGAGCTCTTATCTCAACCAAAGAAATGTATGCCAGGAGAGCAAGAAAGAAAAATGACACCAAAATAATTGATTCACACAGCACCTAGCAAATCCAACTTAGCTATCCTAAGGAACACTAAGGCAAATTTGACAAGAACCACTATGAAATAATGGTCCATCCTCAAAATTAACTAGGTTACTCGAAAAGATTCAACACAAACCAACTACAAAATTTGGAAATATTCAACATCTGGAACCAAAATATATGGGACAATATCTACACCCAAATGACTAGGAGCAGTTACCCTTGCTAGCGCAGAAAATATGTCCATTTGAAGTTTGATAATGAGAAATAAATGGAAGAAATCTGCATTTAGCCTTGCTATTAGAAAATCAACACAGGGTTTTAAGCCAGACCTTAAGGAAGCTTCTCTTCACATAACAAAATTTGTGAGGAAAATAAATGATTGTATCACTTAATTACTCACTTTATCTGGATCTTGCAAATCTTTAAAGGCTTTGTTCAGCTTGATGAACGCTTGGTGAGCTTCAGGATGCGTGCACTTATCAGGATGCACCATAAGAGACAACTTCCAGTACCTAAAGCATACACCAAAATAACAAATAAATGAGGATGGAGTTTAAAGGTGCATTTAACAGCATGACTGACAGCAGCAGCTACAAGTTAACTGTCAACCAGCAGCTACAAGTTAACAGTCAACTGATGCCTAATCCACATCTATGGTTCACATACCAATAGGAGTAGTTACACCATCAGGACAAGGAAGAAAGAAATAATGCTTCCACTAATTCAAGTGAACAAGTTGTGGGTAAAGTTCCTCTTTTTATGGTGATGGTATAAGCATGTGCCGTGCCACAACCGTGTATATAATTATCAAAATATCCAGTTGTCTCAGGGAACAGCTGGATATATAATCCAAAAATCGTATAATAAAGTAGGAGACATCTATTTAACTCCTCCTCAACTAGAAGTACGTGAAGGCAAAATGCTTAACAAATTAAATGACAGCAACCTGACTTACCGTTGAATATAAAAATCGCAAATTATAGATGTAATATAACATATCTCAAAATAATGTATAAGCAAATACGAAAGCAAACATGTTTGAATATTTCAGTAATCATGAAGGCTACAGCTAGTACCGGACAGATGATTTGGACAACATCCCCCTGTGACAATTTTCAAGATTTACTTAAACTTATTTTAGAATGACATATTATAAGCAAATAATATGATTTGAATCAACTTAAAACCAAAAGATCGTTGCACTTAGACAATCACTCAATACTTATAAGCAACATATGAATGCCATCAGGGAGCATTATTACTACCATCCTCCAGGGAAGTAGCAGCTCACAGCTGTTCAGCCGCTTCTCTAGGAGATAGAAGATGTACCTCTGACTGGGTTCACTATATTTAAGCACCAAGACTATTCAGGTTCAGAAATCCAATCAAACATTATTTACAGGAAAAAGGAAAGTCTGGAGCAACTTAGCTCATCTACCAGACCAGTTCAAGAAATTGAAGGCCGTATGCAGACAACTTATAACCTTGGGCATCAATAATTTTAAGGATTGAATTCTAACCTACAGATGCTACTCTAATCTTAAATAAAAATTGATATGTCTCTCCACAAACAAGCAAGCAATTTACCTTTTCTTCATGTTATCACTCAGCATATTTCTGTTCGCACCCAAAACATCATATGAGTTGTCTGCATCTGCTCCCATGATTCTTGTAACCTGACCAAGTAAAAGTACTCGTTATACACAATTTTGATTGTCAACAAAGAGTTACATAGAAAAGAAGATTCTCAACTCACCTTAACCAAATGAACATGAACCAAACCCAAACCCACAATTAACAGTGTAAAAATGTGACAAGGCCAGGCTTCACTAAATGTCATATATTTAGAACCCCAAACACTACTAGAAGTTAACAGAACAGAAATAAAAAGCAGCATGGGAAAAGGAAGAGTGGAAGACCAAGAGAAGTTGTAAAGCAGTGACGAGAAAATAAATCACAAGGTTCTGCTACTTTTAGCAATTCAAATTTCTAATTTTGCTAACTGAGAGGAAGAGAGAGCAACAAGCAAACAGGTAAAATAAAAACTGTCAGTTTTTTAAAATAAAGAACAACCCCACTTCTTTCAAAAGAAAATACAAATTACAGTACCATATAAATACCACATTAGCTCCATTTGGTTTGGTTAAACTAAAAGGAATGTCAAATAATCATAAAACTAATTATCAAACCAAATTTCAAGTGTAATTATGTCAGATTGAAGGTACAAGAAAGATCACACAAGTATGATTGTTAAGGAGAAAGATACATAGAAACAGACAACAGATAGACCGATAGGGAAGAGAAGAGAATGGAGGAAGAACCTCTTCAAAACGTTCGGCCTCGTTTGCTGATTCTACCTCAGTCACCAAAGCAGGAGGTGGGGGTCCTATAAACAATTCAGTATCTTCTTCCAGCTCAACATCCCTGGAAACATTTGTCAGAGACACTTAGTGCAGTTCACTTTAGTCTGGTATAACATAGATGACATCCTAACTGTTATTTGAAGCTTCTTGAGTGTGGAAGGGATAACTATTAAACTTCTGAGAGCAAGAAGTACTTGTAGAAACAACAAAGAGAGGCTGATCAAACCAGTGAGCTCATCTAAGAAGATCATAGTACTTTTGTGTTAATATGTCAAAACCAATCTGTTTTTCCATCTCTGAACCAAAGATTTTCTGAAGGGAGAAACTTAAATCTGAGTTACTCTGACTCTTCAAAATCCCTGCCGCACCCATGTCAACACGACATGGGTGTGGATGTAGGATCCACACCGGATTTGGTCAACTTACCTTCAGTTCTTAGACTACATATATGACCGAGAACACAGAAATATAGATTAATTGGGTATTTGGTTTTATTTTTGGGTTTATGTCATATATATAGAGAGAGAAGAGTTATATAAAGTATGAGAATGCTCTGCTATAACGACGAGATATCTTATGATTATGATTAAAATATTAGGGTTTATAAAGAAATATTTTTTTACTAGTTTTAGTTCAGTAACTTTAATTAACCGAAATATATACTTTACATGATGTAATTTATATTTATTAGTCGTAACCCAGCACCTGTATCCGCATTCGGATCCATACCCCCAGAATCCTAAAATTTATGTGATGAAGAACCCAACCCCTAGATCTACACCCATATCCAATAGTCTGAGCAACATAAATTAAAATTCACCAGATGTGATGCATTGTTATCAATGCTGTAGAACGGTCTAGTTCAATAGGCTAAGTAAAGAATCAAATTATCTACTCCCTTGAGCACATTCCAAATACAGTTTAAGTTAAATACCAATAGGGTCAGTTAGTGTTAAAAAAAAACAAGTCCACAAGTACATATCTAAGTGAGGCAATAAACTGCAATGGAGAATTGAGGTTTACCTCAGCTCCGCTTGTGCTTCAGTTAACTTAGCTGCGGCAGCAAGTAGTTCTGCAGAAGGCATTGCAGGGCCAATCACCCTGCACAAGCGCAAAGGAGATCAAATTAAAATAAGACAACTTAGGACTAGAATGAGGTTTTGATAAAAGAAGAAACCACCTACTCAACCATCATCACTGCCTTTTATTTTCTCAGGTAAAAAAAGGAAAACTGTAATTCCTTTTTACTTTTGTGTTTGGGGAGGGAGGGGGTGAGGGACATGGACTTCTCTCTATGTAATATAACAAATTTGGAGGTGGAAACCTTCTTTACTAACCTCTTTTTTGGGCCAGTATCTTCTTCGGCAGGCAAGCTTAAATTAGCATCGTAAGCGGTAGCATTATCGCTTGGCAAACTCAAATTGGCATTATGACCATTAGCTACTTCATTTGGCAAACTCAAATTGGCATTACAATGTTCCTGTCCAACTCCCGAATCCAATGGCTTGGACTGCTCATCATTTTGATGCAACCCTTGACTTCGAAGTTGCATTTGGGAGCGGATTAAGGGTCCTACAGTCTCCAAAGTAGGAAATGCTTTTGATGGTAATAGAAAAACATGATCACCTGTTTCCTTAAGGTTTAAGGAGAGGAACAGTTTTCGCAGACGCTTGACCAACAATTTTTCAGATAAACCCCTTATATCTACAGCTTGTCCATCATCAATCATTTGTAGAAGCTGTATTGAATTTACAGAAGACGTTAGCTGAATTTGGCTCATAGTTATATGTCAATATACACTTGAAGATAAAATAATTATGGTTTAAAATCCTGAAATCAAGTGTGCACTAATAAACCAAAGGAAAAAAAGAAAATGTATGGGAAGGGGATAAGTACACTGTCTCGTACAAGTATACCAAATCCTTAATTTAAGGACATATTTAATGCTATTTATGATCGAGTAGAAGCTTATGGACACAAGTTTTTTTGTTAAGGTAAATAACTTTTTTATTAATGGACACAAGTTTCTTTGTTAAGGTAAATAACTTTTTTAATAATGGTAAAATCTCATGTATACCAGCAACACTCAAAAAGTAGAGACTCTACAACATAACATGTTCACAACGAATGACACCCAATCTACTATAGTCTATACACATAGGAATGCTCATGGACACAAGTATATTCCTATATGCCTACAAAAACAAATAGGTCATGTATATACTCACTAAAACGAAGTAGAAAGGGATTATTTTGACAAAAACTAGGATATTGCAGGGGGATTACCTATAGATGGAATTTTCTGGAAGTGTAAAAATTCTAGTTCTTCATTAATTATTCAATTGGTAAGGACCTTGAATAATGCACACAATGCAGCCTTTCCTTGGCAGATCATTTGGAAAAATAACTCATCACTGAAAGTCAGAATCCTCACCTCAAAAGCTCCAACATGACCTAATTTAACACAAGAACTCTACAGCAAAGAGTAAAGACGTAGCGATTTGCAGCAAACTTTGTCAGAAGACAAGAGAATATATAAATGGATTGTCACACTGTGAGATGGCTCAACTCATTGGCACTGTGCAATCTTAGCATGGACTCTCTAATTCCTCAATATTGAAGGAATGCAGGTTGCTGGATTTAGTGCAAAACTCAGCAATACTATTGAGCTAGAGCCTACAGTTAGAATGTGATAACTATTGTTTTGAAGATAAAGAAAAAGACAGCTCCTAATAAAATGAACTCCAGCAAGTGGAAAGGGAGTTATTCTTTGTGTTTCATCTTTATGAATTTTGATAAGCATTTTGTTAACAGCATCTCATACTTTTTGTTCCTTGCAACTTCTTCGTGCCTGTTTTGACACATACCTCACTTTTAAAAGAAAAACAAAGAGTTCCATCCAACCATATTATCAACTCCTCAATTAAAATAACATTTTTGTTCAAACCGTTTATTTATTTAACACAACCCTAAAGATAAATTACTTGTTAATAGACAGAGCCGTTTGCTTACTTTCTACTCCTTGTCTCAAATTCTTTTTCAATTTCCCTTACCAAGAATCAAAGGAAAAAATCTACCATTAAGAATCTCAAATGCACTAGTAGCATTTTTCATGTAGTTTCAGAATACATAAATCTTCTATTCAAAAAAGTACATTATGAAATATGTCTGCTTTAGGATTAAACATTGGTTAAGTTGCTCAAAAAATGAATGCTTCATAAGTGAATTAATGCACATCTAGTTAAGAACAAAATTTGGTCATTACAACTTCCAAGAATTTATATGTATCAATTGTTTAACTATAAAATTTGATGATGATATTTTCTTTATTAAACTAATTATTATTGTAATTTCTTCCATTATCACACCATGGGAAAAAATGAGTAGCAACAACAATAACAATAACAACAATAAAACAATAACTACAATTAATTAGCTAATTACAGAAGAACAATTAAAATGTAGTACCTGTTCCAAATCACCAGCTACAGTAGGGAACTCCTGCAATATGCCTTTGACCACATCCCCAGGACTATCCCTTCGCTGCTTGGGCTGGAAATCATCACAGTCTGACCCGGAACCGGTGTCCGATTCACTAGAATCCGAATACTTCCTCTTTCCCTCTCGTTTCGATCTCCTACTACTGCTGCTGCCTCTATGCTCCCGCTTCTTCACATGCTTCTTTTTTCTCTTCACCCTCTCCCTATGCTTATCACTCCTTGAGGAGCTCCTCCGACTCCTCTCCCCCTCACGACGCCGTTTGTGCCGACGCTTTTGCCGTTTTTCATCTTCAGAGGAGCCATCAACTTCATAGTCAGATTCAGAAGATGATTCAGATGAGGACGTGGCTGATTCTTCTTGTTTTCTTTTCTTCCTCCTGCTCGAATTCTCTCCCATGGTGATCCTTGTTCTGCAGGAGAAATTCAAGGTGGAGATTATTAGAAGCTTTTGTCTATTCTGGTTGCTGATCACAAATTTGTTAAATTTGGGGACTCAAGTGTCCAATTTAAAACAATTTCTGGCTTTTTGTCATCCATTAGTTTTAAATAAAAAGGATTGTATTTTCGCTTATACACTCCAAAAAGAATTTATATTTGCCCTTCATATATTTTTCACTAGTGATGGTGTGCCCGTGCTGAGCACGGGCCCAATCTGGAGCAAACAATGGAGAAGAGAAATCAAATAGATAAAAAGTGGCTGAGGAAGAGGATCGCCAACAGAGTATAATGAGAAAATTTGATGATATATAATATCCTCATTCATCTATTTGTGTAATTAATAGACACTGCTCTTTTTATTTGGCATTACAGAGGGAGTACTTTTTTTTCCAAATGAGCTTGAGATGCATGATCAAACAACTAAGCAGATCAACTCAATTTCATCATCTTCATATTAACATTTTTTCTTACTAATGCAAAGCTTGATTAATGATAGAATGATTATCCTTGGAAATGCCTTAAAAGAAGTTGTGATCATTTTTCAAAACCCAGTAAAATTAGTCACAAAAATATGACTGATGCACGCGAGTATAAAGATCCAAGGGAAGCAAACTCACACAAACTATGTTTAAAATGTGAAGAAGCATCATAACAAACTATCAAATTGTGAGAATATTCATCAAGTTTTTCTTATTCTTTTCATCAATCCTTAAAAGGGGAACATAATTACTACTCTCTCCAGGGAAAATAGTTTTCGGAAATGGTCAGCTAAAGGAGATGATACTTCATGAGAAATTAATTCCTCTTCCTCTTCCTCTTCCTCCGCCTCCTCCGCAGCTCCGCCATTTCACAAAGATCAATTTATATGTTCTTCTCATTATCTTATTGACGCAATACATTGAATTATTTTTTATACAAAGGAGTGACCACACACCCTCACAAGTCACATATATGATATAACCAGAAATTTGTGAAGATATGCCACTGAAGCTATAGCAGAAGAATTCAGGAACAAGAGGTTAATTCTGTACTTGAGCAAAAGGAGCAGTCTATCTTGATGACCCAAAAACTATCAATAGAGCAGTCTATCTTTAGGACGGCTTTCTTTCATGTCAGCATAAATACTTTATAAAGTAGCGATGAACACTTAGTTGAGGGTCATCACAAAGAAGCACCCACTTAGAATGTTTACAATTGTGGGATTAGAATAATAAGAGAAAAGAAGCAGGGATTAGAATAATAAGAGAAAAGAAGCAGAAATCCGGAGTTTAAAGATGAAAATAAGAGTGACGCTTTCCTAGGAAATAAGATATACCTTTTTTAGCATTTAGTAACGGAAATCAACTCATAAATCGGTAAAATGCTCCCAGCTGAAGGAGACTTCATTACCAAATTCGAACTCGAGATTTTGGTTAAGAGAGGAGAGAACCATCCCTTCCTTCAGTGGTTATTTTGCATCTGCAACTGTGCAGAACCATTAACCACAACCTTGATACCTATGCATGTCTTGACTATTTATATGAACTTGGCAGTGGTTTGCTTGAGAATCTTTACTAGAATGATCCATATTAATCCATATACTAAACTAAAATACATGAAATGGTAAATTCACTAAACTTTTTGGGTAGTAATACAACAGTGAGAACACATTTGATTTATCCACATCTACACAAAGAAATGGAAATAATCAATTGAGATTTGTCCTACATGAAATTATGAGAAGATCACCTTCTAGGTTGTGCTTCTATAAACGTAAAGTTTCTAACTTCTTTTTATATGAGGAATTGATGGTGGTGTTCGGACCAACTTGCACACACCTCGACTATTTCCAAGTACTACTACCTCCCGCTAGCATAGTAAATAACAACAAACGCTTAACTTTATTGAGTATTAATTCAACATTGTATAATTATTTTGCATCCATATTATACCAACAATTCTTTGACATGAATACTGCCCTCAAGGACGTGTACAAGAAGGTCTTTGGTTAAAAATGGAGACTAAAATTGTAATTCAAAAGGTTTCAGTAAATACATGCTTAGCATAACGAACTCATACGATCTAAATATCTTCTCATCTTCACAATTAAGAAGATCCTGTCTTCTTTCTAGGTAAAAGCCAAAAGAAAATGCTTTAGTCTAAAGTGTTTAACTTTCAAGAAATACAATAACCCATCTCACCAAAACAAAAAGTAAATTTAATTCTCGAGTACAAGGAATTTGGAGACAGGGGAAAAACTTAATAGTAGCAACAACTGCAATAAAAATCAAGCAGAAAAAGGCCAGCACAACATTAAAGTTGTACATCTCGTAAAATCAAACAAATGAAATGCTTACAGGCAGGCCTAAAGTGATAACATCAGCCTATCACCATCATCATTACTCGTCTTTCAGAACCCTCCGTCATCCCCTAAATTCCCTATTTGGCTTCGAATTCTAATATTGAAACTTGTGGTGATATTCAAATCCATAAACAAAATTAACGTAGTCCAGAAATAGCTATACTTTCTTTTGGGGCAATTTCACGAACACCTTTTATGCAAGTACGGATGTTTTACCTAATATAACAAACTCTTATCTATTGTAACTTACCTTGAAACAGATGAAATTTAAGATTAAATCAAATCTTGAAAGAGCTGAAACCGATGAAATTTAAGATTAACCCATGAAAAAATAAGCAAAAAAGGAAACATGCAATACAATAACCTAAATTCATGGAAAATTCAAAACATCTCGAATTAGAAATTAACACAATCTTAAACCTAACTAACATTAAAAGGCCAAATAAAAAAAAAACGAAAAAAAAAACACAGAGGGGAAACTTACCTGTAAACTGGGCAAGAAAGAGCAGTAGGAGCTTAGGGAGAAAAAGTATTCTTGAAGACTTGTGATGTGAAGGAGGAGACTGCTTCTAACCACAGCAATGTGAAATAAGTAGCAGGAGGGCCATTAAATAAGTTAAATCAGATAGTTCAACCTTTTTATTCACAAAGTACAAAAGGCAACAACAGTTAAAAATATGAAAATGTCAAAAATATCCTTAAAGCATCTGGTTTAGTTAAGGCTTTTTTTAGACATAAAAACATACATAGACATGACATTAACTTGATGTTAGCTGGCAACTATAACCTTTAACTTTTGGTGTGCACAAGTAGACACTTAAATTTCTATAAAATTGAACAAATTGACACATTCGTCCTACATGGCACCCTACGTGGCAATTTCATGTCCTACATGGCATCCTATGTGTATTATGTCATGTAGTATAAATGTATCTACTTGGTCAATTTTATACAAGTTTAAGTGCTTACTTGTGCAAATTCAAAGTTGGAGAGGATAATTGTCTGCTAAAGTTAAGAGTCATATATAAGTATTATGCCTTTTTTTTACTTAAAAAAAAGTACAACCTAAAATGCATTATTGTACAAGAATAACATTGCTAAAAATAATGGAAGATCCTAAAATATCCCTAACCTAGAGTAAACAAACAGCTAACTGTCTTTTATATATATACTAGATATGGGACCCCGTGCCAGCACGGGGCCCAATATATGTTACTGTTTCTGTTTTAATTTATGTGGTACATATGAAATTTGAAGTTAATCAATTTTTTAGTATGTTTTTATATATTTTAAGTTGCTAATTATTTGTATTTAGAGTATGTTTTACATAAATATATTAGAAATCACAATAATTAACAAGTTAATATAAAAAAAAAACTTATAAAAAATTCATTGACTTTTAAAATTTCATTTGTATCACATAAATCAGGACCGAGTAATATATATGAAAATTACATAAAACGTACTATAACTCACAATAATTAGCAACTTAAAATATCTATATATCTATATTTCTCCCAATTTATGCGGTATAGATGAAATTTTGAAAGTTAACAAAAACTTTTTATATGTTTTTGAAATATTTTAAGCTATTAATTATTATGATTTATAATACTTTTTACATTAAAAAATTATTTATATAAAGTATAAACGAAAAAATTTAGAAAAAGGAAACATAAATGTCAGCAGGAGTCCAATCTATGTTAATTTCTATGTTTTAATTATTGTAATACCGATTGAATTTTGAGAGCCAACTATATATATATATATATTAAATTTTATTAATTTAAATTTATGATCTCAATTGTCAGCCTATGCCACATTATAAAATGTTCCAAAGTAGATATCAGATTTACAAAAATGTCGATGCCAGCTAAAGTAATAAAATAACATCTAAGGGCATGAACCTATATATGTATATATAAAGCTGAATATTGACAATTTGATGTGGCATCTCTCTATGACCAGTATTTGTATTCATCTTTTTTTTTCCTTTTTTTGACATTTTATCTTTGTTTTGTATTTTTTATTTGTATTTAAAAAAAAGTATTTATGTCATACCCGATTAATTATGCCCTTTATAACATCCATTACACTAATATAGATTTAAGTAAATGAAAATGGAAGATGAAAAGATAAAAACTATTCATTTTTTATAATTATTTAGCCTATAAAATAAAATAAAAAATAGTTGAGCATTTGTAACAAATAAAAACAAATTTCTTCACTTTGGCTCTTCTTCTTCTGACGATAATGATCAATATATGGTATCAACTTTTGTCGCTAAGATGTCCATCAAATTTCTAGGTCATGTGGCTTTTTTAACAAAAGAGAAAGAGAGAATATCTCATGATTCTTGTGAAGACATTGATGTAAAGAAAGAGATTATGTAACAAAAAATTCTTTTCAAAATAAAAGACGTTTTGAAAAAATGTTTATTCCTCCTACAAGGAGAGAAAATTCATTGTGGTTGAGAAATTTATAAGAAGCCTGATTAGTGTTTCAAAGGGTAAGAAAAATTATTTGGAGAAAAAATCATTCTATTTATGGAATTCGTATCAAATTAGGAGGAGAACAAGCAAAAATTTATTTTGTGATTTGAAAAGAGAGAAAATTAGATATTATTTCTTTCAACCTCATTATTCTTCGAAT